TTGTAGTTCGTCTTACCGTATCGTATCTGGCCCAAGTCATGGATGACTACAGGAAGTTTCAATGTTTACTGTGACATGGATACTGATGGAGGAGGCTGGACGGTAAGTAACGTTTATTATAGATAATATCATATCAAACTATTATATGTAAAATCATATATAGTAAGTTTAATTATTACAGTAAACTTACAAGTTCTCCGTTTTTGTTTCTAAGGTAATCCAAAGAAGAGGATTACTTTTTCAAACCTTGGGAAGATTACAAAGTAGGATTTGGAGACATTCAAAAGGAATTCTGGCTAGGTAAGTTCTGATTAGGGTTTTAACTGTATAAGTAGGTTCTGTTTACAGTTTTTAAACAGATGGTTTTAAAGTTACAGGAGTAGTTTTGGCTGCGTTAGGCTCTTATTCGACCAGTACTCTTACCTGATGACAAGAAACATTGTACTTTTGTAATATAGATTATTTTATTACCAATTCAAACCACTCCAAACTATATTCTCTAAAAGTGGTTTCCTCATTATCAAACTTGGATAAACAAAATAAGAAAGTTAATAACACCTTTCCGCTCCAACAATGGAGTTTCTTTACTGGTAGTGTGTCCATTAAGCAGAACATCAGCACAGTCTGTTGGTCCAGGTGATGAAAGAGAACATGTTTGGTCAGTTTGTTCATAGATTAGATGTTTATCTAAAATATAAAGATATAATCTTTACGTTATTGAAATGAGGCTCAACATATATAAATATACGGACAAATAATTTGTTAGTTTATTTGTTATCCAGAGATACTGATGTATATGGATTTGGTATTTAGGTGAAACTTTGAAGACAAGTGTGACATAGTTTGTAGTTCTGTTGTTTCTTTAATCCACAATAATCATTCCTAAAGTTGATATGTTTTCAAACAGATGATGTTGAAGGTATAGAAGTCCTGGGTAGTTAGGCTGTAATAAGACTTTTGAATACGTTGTTTAGAAATACAAGTTATAGAATAAAAATTATTGTTACTTTAAGGATGATCTAACAATATGTAATAAAGACGTAAATAATTTTCTTTGTTCTGACAAAGTCTTTATTTCTTGAACAACAGGATAATCTTAATCCTTAAACCTTTTCTCACTCTAGAAAACACTAGTTTGTTTTGACGTTTTAATTTTTGGTTTTGATATTTTGTTTGCAGAGATCTCCTTTATGTAACTGTGAAACATTTTGAAAATCTTCTTTCTTCAAGACAGTCTGATAAATGTTTATTTTAAAGTAACCTTACATGATTTAAACATTTCCCTTCATATATTATGAAGTACGTTTTGAGTACAAACAAAACGTTTCATTATTAATACTTAGGAAACGATCGAATCTACGCTCTAAAAATCAAGGAAATTACTCAGTTAGGTTTGATTTAAAGGATAAAGAAGGAAACGAGAGGTTCGCCATCTACCGGGAGTTTTGGATAGAAAACGAAGACTACCTGTATAGATTACATGTCAGTAATTACTCAGGTGACGCAGGTAATCAAAGTTCACTTTGTAATCTAATTTATTACTTTATCATTATTATGCTGAATACATCTTTTTCAATTTATTATTCAAAACAATGTAGTAGAAATATTCTTATGACGAAAACTATTTAAAATGTATGATAACAAATTGTGTTCAACTCAAACTGGTGTATTTACATGTTTACACTCACAAAAAAAAAAAGAAACCTATCTATCTCTATGTATTTTTGTGAGTGTAAAACACGTAAATACACAGTTTGATTTGCGATAACTGATTGGTATAAAGGATTGGTTTGGTCTGATATTTCATTGGTGGTAGTGTCCAGGGTCACTGATGAGGAGTGGAATTCTACGAAACTACTCTGGCTCACAGACACATCCTCAATGAAAGAATAGACCATTCCAAGCTTTTACTTGTGAAATGTGGCGTCATCTATTGAATGGCACCAAAACAAAAATATATATACAAATTTCACTCTTTCGGTATTCAAGATTCAAGCTATTATAAAAATAACTATGGTACATATAACAACCCTTTCTTTATAACATATCACAATTTCAAATAAATCTACTCTCTTTACAATACTCACATGACTTTCACTAGTACATTACGTGAGGGTTTGAATATATCTTTATTGATGTAATTTATAAATATAATATTAAAAAATAGAGTTCTTAAAAACGACTGTTATTTCTTTCAACTTTTTTATTATTTTTATGAGGTATGAATACTACGATTAGTAATTTCAGCTCAAACAGCCGCTCGTATGGAGGAGTTTCTGCTAGTTATGTTAATTGACTTAGGATCTGTATTCATCTGCGTGTAAATATCAATTTATCTTATAAAAATTGCTTTAAATAAATTATTGTAATTACTATTATGATTTAATTAAATTATTTCGTCAAAGACTCTGAACAAATTGGGACAAAAACTGCTAAGAACAGATTGAAAAACATTTCTTCAAGATAACGTGAGAGTTTCGAAACTTAGAGTTAATAAATTTATAACACTTTATTTATAATTAGCTACATAAAAGTAAATTATAATTTAGAATAAAGCCAAGACAAATCAACTAGGAAGACACAAAAAACAGTTTTAACTATATTATTATTATTTTACATATTCTAAAGACTAACTTAACACCATATAAAATATAGATTTCAATAAGGTATAACAGAGTCTAACGAGTGTATATCCCTTGGTGTCTTACCCTTATGTAGAAATCTAATATAATAGTTAACTTGAGTTTAATATCCATTAACATTCTTCTAATGTAAAGCTGGAGGTTTGTGATACTATGTCTATTCTAATTACCATCTTTCATCCAAATGACTAGTAAAGCATGGGAGTAGCTCTTAATTTCTAATAATATCTACTTAAATAACTACTTACTTTACGTCTTTGTATATAGTGTTTTGTTTTGTTTTACTGATTTAATTATGAGTTTCTTTATTTATCCAACTACACCAGAAATAGTTGAAAATAATCAAGATATTAGAAGGAAATTTAATATGAGGTTACTAAGAATTTCCATGTTAATCATTGAGTTATAAACCACTAATTGAACTTTGTTGATGTTTACTAAATAGAACCAGTATTAATTCACTTATCGATAATGTATGTCAAACTTCTGGGTAGTCACCTCGTGCTCAAAGTGCTGGTGTCAGACGAGGTCGAATAATTACAGAAAAAAAAAATTACTGACGCCAAACATAATTTTCCTTTCAGCAAAACCACACATCTAAGAATCTGATCATATGCAGTATAAATAAAATTCCTTGTTGACCAATGTTAAATATAAATGTTGACCTATAGGGAAATAACATCAGCATTGTAGCAGTTCTTCCTCTACTATTTAATAGTGCTCGATAAACTTAAGTACTTACAGATGTAAGTGTAAAAATATTTAAAACATTGAATACAATTTGAAAATAAAATTTAAAGGAATTATTAAGAAATTATTAGAGAATGGACCAGAATATATTAATATTTAGTTAATATATAGTATATATATCTATGGAAGGTTATTTAGAATTTGTTTTGTGCATTACTACAAATACTCTGTTAACTCAGAGAATGAAGCACAAATATTTTATTAGAAAATTGAGACTAGTAAGAAGAAAAAATTATGTAAATATTTTAATAAACAATTAATTTAATCTCTCAGTGCTTTAAATAACTTTAGATACAATAATAATTAATGTTAGTAGTGTTAGGATAAAACTTTGGTTTCAATGGTAATTAATGTTAGTAGTAGTTGGATAAATCTTTTGTTACAATGGTTATTAATGTTAGTAGTGTTAGGATAAAACATTTGTTACAATGGTAATTAATGTTAGTAGTAGATGGATAAAACTTTTGTTATGATGGTAATTAATTTAGTAGTAGTTGGATAGAAATTTTGTTACAATGGTAATTAATGTTACTTGTAGTTGGATAATTCTTTTGTTACAATGGTAATTAATGTTAGTAGTAGTTGGATGAAACTTTTGTTATAATGGTAATTAATTTAGTAGTAGATGGATAAAATATTTTGTTATATTGGTAATTAATGTTAGTAGTGTTAGGATAAAACTTTTGTTATAATGGTAATTAATTTAGTAGTTGGATGAAACTTTTGGTACAGTGATAACTAATGTTAGTAGTGTTAGGATAAAAGTGATGTTTATTGATAGCTAGAAGCAATATATATAAACTTTTATGATTATAATACAAAATAACCTCTAAGTATTGTGTCAAGATGATCTCATAAATGAAAAATTGTGGCGGATTTCGTTGTGTGAATAACATTTCTTCCTAGACGATCAGACATTAAATATATCAGTGATGATCAGTATCAAACCTATGATGATTCTTCTTCTGGTTTATCAGAATTGTCAGATAGTGACGAACATCGAGCGATGTAAACTGACATCAGTATCAACTGTACTGGATTCAGTCAATCTACTGATTACACAAGCTAAACAGAAAATACACAGCGATGGTATGTCAACGTTCACATTATTTGAATCTTAAAATCTAAAATCTAAAATAGTGAAACATAAACACTTTGTGTTACAAAATTCTGTAACACAAATTGTTTTCAGTGTTTTGATCAAAGTAAAACACTTCAATGAAGATGTCTCTTTTGTTCTGTTCTAGAGATATTTTTGTAAACATATTTTTTATTATTTCTTTGTGATCTTATGCAGATTCCATTTTCTATGGCTTATATTCAGAAGAACTGGAATGTTTTTCAACCTCTCCTGGACCAACAGACTGTACAGATGTTTTCCTTAATGGAAACCATAATAGTGGAGTGTACCGTATCTGGCCCAAGTCATGGATGTTTACAGGAAGTATAGATGTGTACTGTGATGTGGACACTGATGGAGGAGGCTGAACAGTAAGAAGAAAACGGAAGTATATAAAGAAATAAGACCAACTTTATAAATAGTTGTAAGTCATGTTTTATTATGGTGATTATTTTCTGTCTGTACAACAAAAGTCTGTATATTATATAGTACCTGTAAAAATAGGTGGATAAACTGTGTTTATCTACACTACCTTATAATAAAAGCTACTGGAGGACACCATAGCCCACCAATGTAAATGTAGGCCTAGGTTTCAATAGATTCGTGCCTCAGATTTGTGGAAGTTTTGATATAACTGCATTTTTTTGTTTTGTATTATTATTATATTTTGCTGTGCATTGATTTCAGGTGACATAGTATATTATACAACAAAGGACTTTAGGACTGTGTACATTACATAATCAATAGGTGTAGGTTAATAATTTATTATCCATACATAATGAAGTGATCATAATCCAATACTCTTTTTTTGTTTGTAATTAAGCACAAAGCTACACAAAGGGCTATCTGTGCTCTGCCCACCACGGGTATCGAAACACGGATTCTAGCGTTGTAAGTCCGCAGACATACCGCTGTGCTACTGGGGGGCTAATCCAACACTATTATTTATTGTAGTGATTAAGAGTTATCGGTAATACGATATAAATAATTATCACTACAAAAGATATTAAAGTTATTATTACTGAACCTGTGCATTATTGTTAGTAACAATGTATCTAATATTTCGGTCACATAGATAGATAGATATATAGACGGCCACACCAATGCTCCAACATAGTAAAGATTGTTACTGAATATCACATCATCAAACTATCACGCCAAATAATATGTAGAAATATTACTAATTTCGTAACACAAACAATATTATTACAGGGGAACAAGTCAAATTTCAAATTTTTTAACATTTGGATTTTTCATTCTCAAGCATATATATTTTTTAAAACCTAAACTTTCTTTCATCTTAGCAAAATCTGATTGTAACTGGTTTATTCAAAAATAAGTTAAACATTTTCTTACTCACAGTGATGCATTAGGCATCTTATTGATTATGTCTTCTGTTTTATGTTTGAACAGAATGTATTTTTCTGCTTATAAAACAAACACTGATTACAACAGATCATCAGAAATATTGGATCGCCGCCTGTTTTTCACGATTCTGAGTCTGCTTAGTGATCTGTCTGGAGATGCTCTTGATACTGCCAAGCA